TTAGTGAGAATGAAACTACCACAAGAGCTCAAAAATGTGTTAGGCAGAGATAAGGAAATGATTTGTTTGATACAAATGTATTTTATGTTAACTAATTGCTAGTTTTTTTTTTCAAATTCACTGCAAGCGAAAGAAAAAAGCAAATAGACAGTTTGCACAACCTGAGCTTCTTTTCTTCCCAGATCTTTAGCTAAGCTTTCGTGAATTAGACTTTTATGATTTGATCCTTTCAGCAGGCCCAATCTTCCTCGCACAACCAATTACTTTCGTCGGTCAGTCGACGGAAAATGTTCCAACGCCAGAAAATCTCGTACGAACGGATTTTCCGCAGTCACAACAGCAGTCACAACCCCCTCAACCTCAGCCACAATGTTGTAAGTTTATTTTCTCGTAGATCACTACCTTCAGCATTAAAAATGAACTACTATGGCTATGAAGTTATCGTTTGAAGGTTTAGCTGAAGAGTTGGTGTTTCGAAATAAAATAGGACGTTTGCATAAGAAAAATTGAAAGAGTAGTGAATTATGATCTTAGCGACGACCCCATCCACTTCGGCTACGTTGACTGCTCCGGATTCTTCTCCTCGAGCAAAGAAACCATGCGTGCAGACTAGCATAGAACAGCCTACGGAGGTAAGTTTAAGTTCCTGCTGAGAATCATTTTCCTTTAGAACTGATGGTAATTTTTTCTGGCACTTATAGAGTGATCAAGTTCGGTCGAGAAAATCATCATCGTCTAGCCAGAAGTCAAGCAAAAGCAGGAGAGCTCGAAAGGAAGAAATGACACGAGAATTTGAAAACTGTTTAGAACAGGCAAGAAACTTCTAGAAATTCCTCAGTATCTCACCCATTTGCCTCGGAAAATAGAAGCCTTTTTATACATTATGCATTTATATCGAATTGCTGAATTATCTCTGAAAAAACCTCGAATCTTTGACTATTTAGGTCCTCACTTGGCTCTTAGAAGCGGAAGAAGAGTTGAGTCTTCTGGAAGAAGTGAATGAAAATGATCTAACGGTAGTTCGCAAGCAGTTCAAAGATTTTGAAAACTTCATGTCATCACTTACGGAAAGTCAGGATACGGTGG